TCGTTTGGACTAAGAAGGACGTAGAAGCAAAGCGTCGTGCGAAGACCGATGAAGAGAAGACAGCTCGCAAAGCCTACCAAATCAAACACGACCTTTGCCACTATTGCGATAGCCCCGACCACAATATTGGCACCACTGGATGTCCCAAGCTTGAGGCTCGAGAGTCGACGAAAGCTGCGAAGGAAGCGGGAAAAGTCTAGTCTCTGACGAAAGTCGCCGTCAGAGACGTCTTCGGAAGAAGGTCCTGAAGATATCATCTCTAGAGGAAAGGCAGAAAAGTACGATGGAGGTTCCTTGTAAGGTAGTACAGAAAGGCAATACCAAACACATAACTTCTACTACTTACTTTATGCTCGACTCTGGGGCTTCAGCTCAATATTTCATTGATTCCGATTATGCGCAAAATTGTGGTTTTGAATTCGTCCCACTCGCTCGGCCTCGTCGTCTCCGCATCGCGGACGGGAGACCTTCTTCAGCAGGTGATGTTACTCATATAGTTATCTTGGACATGATTGTCGGGAAGCATGTAGAACGTCAACAACGCTTCCATGTTACTAAACTCGCCTCCCACAACATCATCATAGGACACCCGTGGCTCGCTCTCCACAACCCTCAAATTGACTGGACGAACCACAGTATCGTTTTTGGCTCTACGTACTGTAGAGGACACTGTATGCCTAGGAGGTTGGATTCGGTTCAAGTGAAATGCACTCGTCACGACGTTTCACATATCCCTAAGCCCCTGAAAGTCAGCGCTGCCTCCTTCAACCGGCTGGCATCTACTCACGGCGTTGAAGTGTTCTCTCTATCTGTTTTTGAAATAGACAAAAGGTTAGAGGAGTTAGGCGCGAGCCCTTCTACTCCCGACACCTTGTACAGCATTCGGATGGACGATGGCCTCTCGGGCCAGAAGCGCATGGAAAAGGAGTTACTGATTCAGGACGACTTCCAGCACAAAACCACCGATTCTCGCCAAATGGCTGCTGAACTCTACCTCTGCGGGGCCTCTCTAGACGACATCCAGAAGGCACTCGCAAAGTACAACAACCCTGGAGAGCACGTTGATCCTGAGACTTTGCTCCCTCCACACTTGAAGAAGTGGTCATCTCGGTTATTTAACCGTCAGAAAGCTGATACGCTACCCCCACATCGAGACTGCGACCTGAAGATTGAATTGAAGCCTGGTTCATCTCCTCCCCATGGACCTCTATATAATATGTCTATCCCAGAGTTAGAGGTCTTACGTAAGTACCTCGACGAACAGCTGAAGAAGGGGTTTATTCGAGCAAGTAAATCCCCGGCTGCCTCCCCAGTACTTTTCGCAAAGAAGCCTGGTGGAGGACTACGCTTTTGCGTGGATTACCGAGCACTAAACGATATTACGATCAAAAACCGGTATCCGATACCCCGAATCCAAGAGACACTCCAACGACTCAGCAAAGCAAGGTACTTCACCAAAGTCGATGTCATTGCAGCATTTAACCACATACGAATTAAGGAGGGGGACGAATGGCTAACAGCTTTCAATACTCGCTACGGCCTCTTCGAATCTCTAGTCATGCCATTTGGCCTTACGAACGCTCCAGCAACCTGGCAAGCCCGGATTAACGAAGTACTCCGCCCGTTCCTGGATATCTTTTGCACTGCCTACATAGACGATATACTCATCTATTCAGACGACTTGACCTCGCATCGTAAGCAGGTCGAACAAGTGTTCGAGGCTCTCGAAAAAGCCGGCTTCCAGCTGGACATTAAGAAGTGCCAGTTCGAAGTCCAGGAAGTCACCTATCTAGGCATGATTATATCAACGGATGGAGTGAGAATGGACCCTGAGAAGACCTCGGCTATCACGAACTGGTCTAGGCCAGCTCACCTCAAAGACCTCCAGGCGTTCCTTGGCTTCTCGAACTTCTACCGGCGCTTTGTTAAGGATTTCTCGAGGTTAGTTAAACCATTGAATTTACTATCTAAGAGAGGCGTAAGGTGGGAATGGACCTCGACTTGTGATAAATCGTTTCAAGCACTTAAGCAAGCATTCACTTCTGCACCAACACTTAAGCACTTCGACCCAGAGAAGGAAGTCATTGTCGAATGTGACTCCTCCGACTACGTCTCGGCCGGCATCTTGTCCCAATACCACGATGGAGTTCTCTACCCTGTTGCCTTTATGTCAAAAGTCCTCGACCCCGCGGAATGCAATTACGAAATCTATGACAAGGAACTACTTGCCATAGTACGTTCCTTCGAGTCCTGGCGCTCCGAACTTGTGGGAACCGCGTACCCTGTGTCAGTAATCACTGATCACTCCAACTTGAAGTACTTTATGACTACTAAGCAACTGACCCGCCGTCAAGTCCGGTGGAGCGAGTTTCTCTCTGAATTCGACTTTGTTATTAAACCTGTACCTGGTAAGAAGAACACCAAGTCCGACTCACTTACTCGTCGATCCCAAGACCTCCCGAGCCGAGACGACGACCCTCGGATTATATACCAACAACAGTCACTTCTCAAACCTCAAAATTTAGACCCTGCCATTCGCTTAGCACCTCTAAACGAGGAAGAACGACCCACTGAACAAGAGGAACCAGAACCAGAACCAGACGAGCAGGGAACTGAATCCGACGACCATATCTTGACTAGGATGTTAGAGGAGGGGTACAAGGAAGACCCTTTCTGGAAGAAGACTTCTAAGGAAATGAACAGAGAAGACCGCACACCACACTCCAAAGAAGTCGCATTGTCCGAGTGTCGGATCGACGACGGCAGGCTATACTTTCGGGACAGGCTATATGTCCCAGATACAGAACTACGAGTATGGCTTCTCCAAAGAGCCCACGACTCGGTCGAGAGCGGTCACCCAGGCAAGAACAAACTATTCGAGCTCATGTGTAGACATTATTGGTGGCCGAAACTTTACCGCGATATCACCCAATTTTGTAGAGCCTGTACAAACTGTCTTCGGAACAAGTACTCCCAGCTACGATACCAGGGCACTTTAAAATCACTCCCAATACCGCTTCAAAGATGGAGAGACTTATCAGTCGACTTTATGGGCCCTATTCTGTTGGTCGATGGATTTGACCAGATTATGGTCGTTACAGATAGGCTCACTAAGGATTGCCACATTACACCATGCAACAAGGATATGAATGCAGCCGAGCTGGCTCGCTTATTCGTGCGAGACGTCTGGAAGCTTCATGGACTACCAGACACTATCGTCTCTGACCGGGGTTCCTTATTCCTCTCAGACTTTTGGAAATCCGTCTGCGAAGTACTACGGGTTCGAGTTGATCTCTCTACTGCATACCACCCAGAAACTGATGGCCAGACCGAAGTCGCTAACAAATCCATTTCCAAGTACCTACGTCAGTACATCGACTTCGCCCAGACAGATTGGGTTCAATTCCTACCCTTAGCCGAGTTTGCTATGAGAAACGTAGTCAGCTCTGCAACTGGCATATCTCCGTTCTTTGCAAACAACGGTTATCATCCTCGCATGAGTTTTGGGCCACCTCGATCACCTACGCTCACCTCTCAGAACGCTCTTGCGGGAAGAACTTTTGCTCGGAAGATGGAGGAGATCTTGGGCTACTTACGTACTAATTTGCTTACTACGAGGGACCGTATGGAGGAATCTGCGAATGCGAACCGATCACCAGCCCCAGCGTACAGAGTAGGTGACATGGTTATGTTAAGCACAAGGAATATCAAGTCAGCGAGACCTATACCGAAATTCGACGCCAAGTACATTGGCCCCTACCGAGTACTTCAAATCATGAACTCCCACTCCTATAAGCTGGAGCTTCCCTACGAATTACAGTCCATCCACCCGGTTTTCCACACTAATTTGCTACGCCCCGCCGCCGGCGTCCCGATGCCAGGGCAAGTCAACCTAGCACCTCCACCTGTGACAGTAGACGATGGAGGACATGCTCTATGGGCAGTGGAGGAGATAGTAGACTCGAGGAGGAAGGGTAGAAAATTCGAATATCTGATAAGATGGCGAGGTTATAGCCAAGAGGAGAACTCATGGGAGCCATTGGTCAATGTTATCTATAGCGTAGCCTCGATACGTACCTTCGAGACTAGATTCCCTAATAAGCCTAAACCGACAAAGAACGAACGGTTGAGAGCTTTTGCGGAACGAGAAAAGGTGTAGGAAAGAGGGACCTTATGTAACAGATTTGATTCAGTGAATTCGAGGCTTGGTGTCGGGTAGATTTCGGGAAACAAGGCACTGTAGATAGATAAGTAGCACTTCTGCTTGGAGAACTCTTCTCTCCTCGCAGACAATCTAATCATACACCCTGACAGCGACTAACGCGAAGGCGCGAAAGGGGAGAGGGACATCGTACCACAGGAGGGACACTATAGGTGGTTACATTGTTAGGCGGCATAATAGAGGGTGTTATACTACTAGAAAATCAGAGAACTTCTTACGTAAAAACAACAGATTTGAACTGGGGATAAAAGACTTTTAGAACTACTCAAAAAGGAGTGCAATTCTTTCCACAATTTGATATGAGACCTATGAAAAACGAGAAAGATATGTGCGGGTTCTTACGGTCCCTGAATTGTATAAAAGTTCGTAATTTGCACCTTAAAATGCACGGAATAATATGGCGATATAAAAGGGCCTAAAATAGCTTCATAATACTTGCTTTCCCCTATATCAGACATAATAGACTCTCGGGAAAAGCAGAGGCAATTAAAGACCGTTACAAGAATATTTGGCATTCCTGTCTCTTATTCTGAACCTCTTGTTGTACTCGATTAGTATGGTTTTACATCGATACTCTTAATTTAACAACATCGCCACGTTGTAGATGCTTTGAGGATTCCAAAAACATTTGTAATCTGAGAACCAAATTTTAGCGAATATAGATAGATAATAGATCTAATAATATTCTCAAGCAACTTTCCCAAGGAGTGTATAGAGATAAAAAGAAAAAGTGCCTAAACCACAAACTTTCCACCCTTCTTTTAATGGATATTGCACCCTAAAACAATATTTCTCCACCGGTATTCTCGCTCAATCCATCTCGATCATGTCCTCCTACGGGATCCTCAAGGAATTGGGTCTCCGCAGAGCAATGCTTGCCCAAGCTATCTCCCAGTCAGTATTGCTCCATCGGTTGGATTCTCTTGAATCTTACCACAAAGACAGTGCAGCACCTCGCTTGGAACCCGGTCTGAGCGCAGCGGGCTTTATAATCAGCCACAGAGCTAACTGGTGAAGTAACTGCCAATATATCAGCAAACACGTGAGGGAGATAGCATAAGACGACAACATACGTGCTGAACAACCTATATCGAGGACATTCAAGATTGGTGTAGCACAACAAAGAGGTTGACTGTAAAGTTGACCCCGGCAAACGGGTGTTACCTCCATTATCGGATTTGAATTTGTCGTAGTCGATGGTGGTGTTACCACTGTAGGCGAGGCGCCAGTTTGCGGAATAGGGGTGAACCGAATGGGACCACCCCCACCCCCATTACCCCCGTTTCCTCNAATTTGTCGTAGTCGATGGTGGTGTTACCACTGTAGGCGAGGCGCCAGTTTGCGGAATAGGGGTGAACCGAATGGGACCACCCCCACCCCCATTACCCCCGTTTCCTCCACCCCCATTGCCAGGAAATCCGCCATGGCCTCCTCCATATCCACCTCTCCCAGGACCCCCATATCCTCCTCGACCGAAACCTTTGCCTCCTGAACCACCTCGTCCGGGGTTGAATCCGCCATTATATCCACCTTGTCCCCCGTGGTTGTAACCACCTGGAAAATTGGCTTCTGCAGAGGCAGTAGCAACAACGGCGAGAAAAGCGAATGAGATAGTTGAGAAATGCATATTTGCGTGTGGATGCAAAGCTTGATATCGCCGTACCATGGTGTACCGTTGAATCTCTTTTATGTCTTCTTTTTCCCCCATTGTTTATCATTTTCCATTCCTGGTGTGGCGGGAACTTGGTGTTTCGCTTCTCGTATTGTTCACATTCCTAACACGTACATGTCTACATTCTCCGAGGGACGGGACATTTAGTTCATTATCAAGCTAAAGGACTAATACATTTGCGTCATCTTGCTTGTTTCACTTTTTGGGAAAGAATTTTGTCAAGTACCGCATTTCGAAGAGATTCAATCGAAAATCAGTATCACAAACTTGTCTCATAAGTTCGTCATATGTCTACCCCCCGCACTTAGGCGTCGTTAATACGCATTCCGACTTCTTATTGGATTCTCTGAAATTCTTGGCGATTTCCTCACCAAATATGGGCTTCAAGTGTAGCTGCGAAAAGTCCATCTGATGACTGGGTAAACAGGTCCAGGTCTTTTCGAATTGCCGTGTTGATTAGGCTACAGGATAACATGGCTGTAGTGGCTATGGCTCTAATTTCTAAAGGTTTAGATAACTAATATCTTATAACTTTAACTAATCAGAAGCCCATGATTTCAAATTAATGGTTTATATTGTTTTATTTACACTTTATTTCATACTACCACTTCTTTTAGCAGACTCGTGATTTCAGCACTAGGTTGTCAAGAGTTTGTTTCGAAGTCAAGGTGTAAAATAATAGTAGACAGGTTTATCGAATTCTAAAGTTATTCCTAGTTACCTCGCGTCACGCTCAGTTATACATCTATGTTCATAATTATATATCCCTTCTTGTTAAAATCAGAAGAGAGCTTATTGTCGTCGCTAACAGTTACGTGTTTGGATAGAATCCAAAGGCTAAATAATATATGGGTGAAGATATTTCAAATTAGTGGTTTTCGTCATCTTCTTGTCTTAGCAAGCTATAACTGAATGTTTGATTTATCGATATGTAGAAAGCTATGTACCATTAAACAAAAGTCTCTCGGTGAAATAGTATAAAGCGAAGAGCTTAACGTAAAACACTGTGATTATATTACTTACAATATGTGTTGGTTTAACGGTACAACACCCAAATGGTGCAAAAATGAGTAGTGGGTTATGTATATCTGGTTATTATAAAGATTACTATAGAGATAGTGGTGTTGTGGTCCAGATATGTACAGTGGGCTCTCTGATGAGTGTCATGTGACCCGCCTCATCGACCCCAGAGTGTGGATATCGCAACAATATATTTATACCGTGAACAGTAGTTTTATCTACACTCTGCAAAACATATTTATCTGTATTTGACTTCAAGTTCTTTCCATGACACTCCCTGCGTGTTCCAATGGCCACATTCTCTGTCAAGCCATAACTGGGACTCGGAATGGCACTTAGGCAATCGAAGAGTAACATCAATTGCTCTGTTTTGAAAGGCATATTGATAGGTCGTCCACAAGTCACCTTAATGCTGTGATTATATTTTCGACAAAAATTGATATTGTTTGATACCACAAACCAGCCAGAATTGATTAGAGCGCTATAGTTTTCCTTAGGTTTTTCTATCCAAGGCCCTGGTAGTGCTTTATTAGGGAGTTTCGGTGTTGGAAGAGAGCAACTCGATTGGGAAACGACGGCCTGAACAATTTCTGCCTGGGCAGATTGGTGTTGCAAAAGATCCACCAGATCTAGCGATTTTGTAAATATTGAAATAAAGCTTTTCATTTGGAGCAAATTTAGCAGCAAACCTTCTTCCCAGATAATGAGGCTAAAGATGTATCCATAAAGATACGGTCATTGCAAAACAACCAAAGAAAGTGAGCCAGGTGAAGGAACGATGGATGTAACGACGGCCATAATTCAACCCCCCCTCCCCCCCTCCCCCAAAA